GAGGAGAAATGGAGCACCAGGAAGCGAAATGGAACTAAGTCCTATATTCAATGAGATAAACAGATTAAGAAATGGAATAAGGGGAGTGGTGACCTCAGGGCAAGATCCCACCCAGCTACACTTCCAAATTGTGAAAAGGAACTAAAGAAAAGCTCAGAGTCAGGTGTGTTGGGGCACACCTTTAATCCCAGCACTGGGAAGGCACAGGTCTGCAGATGTCTGAGCTTGAGGCCAGCCTGTGCTACAGATCACGTTTCAGGACAGCCAAGCATAGGCAGTAAAGGATAGAAAGCTGGTAAAGATGTAATTGAAAGAGGGGGTCATGTTCCAGCCCCAGTAAGCAGCTGAACTTGGCAGCTTTGGCCACATGGTTCTGGCTTTAGAGTTAAGGATAGAAGAAAACTGTTATGGAATTTGCCTAGGAGCCTAAAGAAAGCTCCTGAGGCCAGGCATGTGTCTGGATTTTCCCTCAACAGAGGCCTAGGAGAGAGGCCATTGTGTGAAACTGTGAAGTTGAAGCCTGGATTTCCTTGGAGAACCCAAGATGTTAGAGACACTGGAGTGTCTTGGTATACCAGCCTGAGAGAGATGCTAACAGGGAGTGGAAATAGCCCAAGAGAAAGAAGTATGCTGCAGTCAATAAAGCTGAAAGGAGTAGGCGATTTGAAGATCATTTTGACATCAAACATGGAGATGCAGAGTTTGGAGGTTGCCCAGCAGTTTTAGGTCTTGCTTTGGTCCATTATTTCCTCACTATACATTTGGAATGGTAAAGTATATCCTGTGCCATTATATGTAGGAAGTATGTGATCTGCTTTTTTATTTTGATTTTTACAGGTGATTACAGTAAAGAGATTGCATGAATCAAAGAAGAGACTTTGAACTTTGGACTTTAAAACATTGTTGAGACCATGATAGACTATGGGGACTTCTCAAGTTGGAACTAAATGCATTTTGCATTATATTGTCACAAGCTTATGGGGGCCTGGGAGCGGAATGTGGCAGTTTGAATGTAACTGTCCCCATAATCTCATAGGGGATGGCACTATTAGTAGGTGTGATTTTGTTGGAGTAGATATGGCCTTGTTGGAGAAAGGGTGTCACTGTTGGGGCAGGCTTCGAGGTCTCCTATGCTCAGAATACTGTCCAGTGTCTCAAAGGATTTCCTGTTGAATGTAAGCCAAGACGTAGCCAGCACCATGTCTGCCTGCATGCCATCATGCTCCCCACCATGATGATAATGGATTGAACCTCTAAAACTGTAACAGAACCACCACAATTAAATGTTTTCTTTGTAAGAGTTACTGTGGTCATGGTGTCTCTTCACAGCAGTAGAAACCCTAACTAAGATACAGTTTGTTTATGAGTCTTGCCTATGGAATAAAAACAACTGAAAAATGTGATACTATGTGGTCAGGGATTGCTAAACTGTTATTATCACCAAGTTTATGGGCTATTCACATTTTTCAGGGACTTTTTATGTTTATTACATCAAGAAGTCACTCTTTTCAATACCTATCTTGGACTATTGAACTCTGTCACTTCAGATTGTAAGAAGTGATGTGATATACTACTGGTTATTATACAAATTAGAAACATTATTTTATCCTTTTTTTGTTTATGTGTATTTGCAAGTATGCCTCTGTGTGTGTGTGTGTGTGTGTGTGTGTGTGTGTGTGTGTGTGTGTGTGTGTGTGTATAAGTACACACACAGGTGTGTAAGCCAGAGGACAACCTTGGGTATCATGTTATGGGACCATCACCTTTTCTTTATTTTTTCAGGCAGGGTTGTTCACTGGTCTCGGGCTCGTCTTTTAGGCAAGTCTAGCTGGCCAGCTAGCAACAGTGAGGACATTATTTCTGCCTGTCTAGCATTGTGAAATAAATATACTGGGGTTACTGATATGGACAACCACACTCAGCATTTTTGCTTGGTTTTTTGTTAGTTTGTTTGTTTTTTGTTTTTCATGACAGGGTTTCTGTGTGTAACTTTGCATATTTCTTGGAACTTACTCAGTAGCCCAGGCTGGCCTCAGACTCTCAGAGATCCGTCTGCCTCTGCCTCCCAAGTGCTGGGATTAAAGGCATGTGCCACCACTGCCCGGCATACACTCAGCACTTTTTACATGGGCTATGGGAATCAAACTTAGGTTTTCATGCTTGCAACTCAAGAACTTTTACCCCAATACTCATCCTTCATGTTCTCATTCATGGCAAGGTTTTTTTTTTTTTTTTTTCTCCCCATAACTGAAGGTTGAAAATTCTGTTACCGAGAACTGTTTGGGTACTTTACCTAACTTTGGAGTACAGTAAAAATACATTCAGTTACAACAGTTACATGTAATAACAATTCATGAATTACTCTATCGCTATTAACAAATTGTCTCATAAGTATGAAACTGACAAGTGAAATACTCTTACATGATATTATCTTTTTAAATATTTTCAAGGCCCAGTACCTTTTTATCTTATTGGAAAACATATTAGTGTACATCCTAAAACACAAATATAGATATGCAATTTCATCTAAGCCTTAATTGCTTTGGTCATGGTGGTTTTGATTACTTAGTATTGTATTTTCCAAGCCCCAATCAGGGTCTTACACATTATTGTTAATAATATTTACCTATTGAAAGAATTAGTTATTGAATTTAATCTTGATAAAGAGCCAACAAGTTAAAGTCTATTTCCAAGGAGTGTCCTGTATTCATATTCACATGGCTCCAAATGAATATATTAAATATTCCTTAGCTGTGAACAAGAAATATTGAATTAACTTCATGGTTGAGAATATAGATTCTGAATTATTATAATATCTCCTAGTGACTCTCCTAGAAAATTCAATGTCATGTCAATTTCCATAAGAAAAATGATATATTCCGAGTCTAACCAATAAAATTGAATGTTCAATCAGATCATAGGTGTCACACTTTATGAAGACTATTAGTAATCAAAATTCACTTGGTATGAGAATAATGAGATAAATTGTGCAACAGAAATTATTGACATGAAACATACTATATATTTTCTACTTTGTTATTAAAATCAGAATTTAATATACATTATGTTGAATTCCATAAGCACGGAAGCATTCTCAGTAAAATATCTAAATGCTATTAACAAAGCTGAGCCTTTATATGTGGCAAAGATGGAATTTAAAAAAGGATGGTATGTCTTCCTTCAAAAATCAGTTCAATTATTATTCAATTTGTGTATTTTCTGTTGAAGAGACTAGGGATACTTTCAGAAGAGAGACATACTGATGTCTAGAAAATCAGTCAGAAAACTTAAAATACTCTTGAAGAAATGTCATGAAAGCAATTAAATGGTTTAATATCTTTGTCTACTATATAAATTTGTATGAAAAACTACATTTTTATAATGTAGCTTTGTTAATCTAACTTCAGTTTTAAGAAAGGTTTTCTTCAAGAGTGATAGTGCTTATCAAATCCAAAATAAGAGATTTCTTTCCACTGCTTCTGTGGAAGAGATTTCTTTCTGTGTGGCAGGTTTGAAATGGCTTGGAGCATAGCTGTTAGAATAAATATCAGATATTTCTGTTTACTTGATGCTACTTTACTGATGAAATAACCAAGATAATATACACCTCATCATTTTCATCATGTATACATAAGAATTTCAGTCAAATGAAGAGTGTAAGAAAACATGGAGGAAAAAAAGAATTTTCAGCTAGAAAGAAACATTAAGAAATCAGAGCATTTGGCATATAAAAAAAAACACCTAAGAAAGGTAATTGTATTTACTTGAATCATTCACAGAAATGTGCTAAATTGAAACAATTTCTTACCATGCTAGATTATCTAATTATGTTTTCACTAATTTCGTAGCCATTAGTGCATTTTAGACTTGCTAACTGTGCCATACCAATCCCTGTGTTTTCTGAGATAGGAAAATATTAAGGCAGACTCTGTAATGCTTCCAAAAGATGATAGTGGTCATTCACATTTTATACTTTTATTTTTAATTGAACATATAAAACAAACATAGTGAATTATATAATTATTTTCTTAAGAGCTATACACTGTTATAAAAATGTCTGCAAGAGAACCCTGGAAAATATGACATATGTGCATGCATTCTCTCAAGTGAGAAATGGACAAAACTGACAACTTTTCAAATTATGAGTCTAAAATGATGTTGAATACAATGTGGTCAGGTGAAAGGATAGAAAGGGAATCATAGACAAAATAATTCCTCATTTTCCTCTTATAATATTTGTAATTCAAAGTTCTTTGGGCCATTTTATTATATATTTACACCAACTTCTGTATGCATTCATTTAAATTAGTTATATATAATATATATATATATATATATATATATATATATATATATATATATATATATTATATATACCAAAACATTTTTTGTGATGTTAAATATCAATTCCAGTAATGGCATTACCCCTTCCTGTTTTTCTTTCTGATTATACATTATTTCTCTGTTTCCTGTGTTCACTTGAAGTTGAATATGAGTGATTATGAAATTTAGGAATAACAAAAATTCATGAAGTGCAGAAATATTTGAATTCTGCCTAACTTCAATTCATTGTCATGAAAGTTCATTAAAATGCTTTGTCTATTTGTCCTGATATCTTTTTGTTTGAGGTTTCATTACATAAATTGTAATTCAAAATGAACTAAAACATTTTGAAAAGTAAATGCTAAATGAGAGCCACAGTTTTTAATGACTTCATTTATACAGAGAAGATTGAAGTTAAACTAGCAATATGTTTTTTGGAGATTCAATGTTTACCAACAATCCATGAAAGCCACTTTAAGAGTAATACTAATAACCAAGGACTTTGTATTCTACTGAAATACATTTTAGGTGATAGCAATTGGCTTAATTTTCTCCTCTATAATCATTTTTAAATTTACTTTATGGTAGGTTTAATAAAGTAAGTTATTTATTTAATTTATATATGTTAGTTAGTAAATTGTATACTTGTGTGTGGTTTACTCTAGGAATGGTATTACCTTATCACCTTCAGAAAACGTGATGCCATCCACTGCTCTTTTCCATGTGATTTCTGGAACAGGCTCGCCTTCTGCTTCACAGATGAGTGTGACATGACCATTCTCAGACGTCGTCTCATTTTTAAGTTGTAATATATGAGGCTGTACTGTAAAAAATGTACATGTTATACAATTGATATTGGACCAGAATGGTTACTGGTCACAGTGAAAATTCCATCCGAGACTATTCACTACACATTTGAGTGATATGAGGTAACTAACATCACGGCAGTTATAACATACTTTCTAAAACTACCGAGAAAACTCCAAATAAGAGGGGGAACCATTCTAGATAACAAGATAACAATGTTTACCCGCTTTTAGTATAATAATTAGTTCAGCTTCCTATAAATCAATATAAAACATAATTCCTTGCAAAATTTTCCCAATCTAATGTAACATTCTTTTATTTATTTCCTAAAGCCACAAAATTTAAATTTCTTCTCTAAAACCCCATATATATATAAACATATGAAAACATGTATATGCCATCTGTTTAGTCATTTATTGTATTTTATCTTTTTTTTTTTTTTTTTTTTTTTTTTTTGGTTTTTTCGAGACAGGGTTTCTCTGTGTAGCTTTGCGCCTTTCCTGGAACTCACTTGGTAGTCCAGGCTGGCCTCGAACTCACAGAGATCCACCTGGCTCTGCCTCCCGAGTGCTGGGATTAAAGGCGTGCGCCACCACCGCCCGGCTTGTATTTTATCTTTTAACAAGCTCAACAAAGTAGACAAATGAGTAAGGCTTGGTGGTGTTAGATACAAATGTGAAATTTTTCATGAGAAAAAGAGATACTGAAACATTTTCTTCATGCAATTACAAATGATTAATTAGGACTATAACCAACTTTCACATAGCACTAGACTAGTTTTTCTTAACCTGCGGGTCACAACCTCTTTGGGGGGAACTGAATGACCCTATCACTGGGGTTGCAATCAGATATTCTGCCTATCAGACATTTACATTATGACTCATAACAGTAGTAAAATTAGTTATGAAATAGCAATTAGAATAATTTTATGGGTGGGGGGGTCACCACAACATGAGAGATTACATTAAAGTATCACAGCACGAGGGAGGTGCTCTAGATATTAAGCTATTTCTCTAACTGTAATCCTATAGAACATAACATTAAATATACTAGTGTTATATTTTCTTTCTAATAAAAAATACCTACCTTCACAATTTACATAATAGCACTATGCTTTAAAATTTGGACTTTGTACTATCTGCCTGTCCTGGTTGGTTTTTCTTGTTGTTTTGTTTTGTTTTTGTTGCTGCTCTTTTGTTTTGTTTTTATTAACTTGATACCAGGGAGAGTTATCAGACTCTTAGTTGAGAATATGCTTCCTTAGTAGACAAGCCTGTGGAGCACTTCCTTGATTGATGGTTACTGTGGTAGGGTCCATCCCACTGTGGGTGGTGCTATTCCAAGCATGTGGTCTTGGGTAGTAGACAAATGCAAGCTAAGCAAACCAAGGAAGCAAGCCAGTTAGCAACTTTCCCAGCCCCATGGTTTCTGCTTCAGTTACTGCCTCTAGGTTTCCGCCATGAGCTCCTGACCTAATGCCCTTAGTAATGGAATGTGACCTAAGAGTTGTAGGATGAAACAAACAAACCTGACTCTCCCCAGGTTACTTTTGTGGTTTTTTTTTTTTTTTTTTTTTTTTTTTTTTTGGTTTTTCGAGACAGGGTTTCTCTGTGTAGCTTTGCGCCTTTTCTGGAACTCACTTGGTAGCCCAGGCTGGCCTCGAACTCACAGAGATCCGCCTGCCTCTGCCTCCCGAGTGCTGGGATTAAAGGCGTGCGCCACCACCGCCTGGCACTTTTGTGTTTTATCACAGCAAAAGAAAGCCTAATTAAGACATTGTGCTGGGGATGTCTTTCTGCATGCTGTGAATGTGTTGTTCTGATTGATTGATAAATAAAACACTGTTTGGCCAGTAGACAGGCAGGAAGTATAGTATAGACAGGATAAGCAGGGAAGAGAATTCTGGCAAGTGGAAGGCTGAGTCAGGAGACACTGCCAGCCTCTGCCATGAGAAGAAACATGAAAAGTACTGGTAAGCCACGAGCCATGTGGCAAATTATAGATTAATAGAAATGGGTTAATTTAAGATATAAGAACTAGATAGCAGAAGCCTGAGCCATTAGGTCAAGCAGTTTAAATAATCTAAGTATCTGTGTGTTTATTGGGGTCTGAGTGGCTGCAGTTCTGGGCAGGACTGGAGATAACTCCAGGTACAACATTGCCTTACTCTTTCTCTCTCTCTCCTTCCTTCTTATCTTCCTCCCTACCTTTCTTCCTTCCTTCTTTTCTTCCTTCCTTCCTAACCTTCCTTCCTTCCTTTCTTTCTTACTTATTTAGCAAAATAAAATCAATAAGATCCTAAAATCCAGCTTTATCATGTCATTACATGACTATTTTTTAAAAAATACTATAAGTATAATTAAATAAATTAATTTAAATAAAAAGTATTTTTTCTTAATATCAGAAATAAGATCCCTAATATCAGAAATATCATGTATAAAATTTTAACATTTTTTTTACATTTATTCCCTTTCATTCTTGTGAAGCAACACTGAATACATTTGTGTTTCTTTTGAAAAATAAAATTTTTATCCACAAAAGTGAATATCATGTATAAAATTTTAACATTTTTACATTTCATTCCCTTTTACTTTTAGTCATATACATTTTATCTTTCAAAAGAAACACAAATTTATTCAGCATTGCTTCACAAACCTTGATGTAATATGATGTTTTATGCATTATTTCATGTTTTAAAGGATGGAGCTTCAGAAATCCTGATACATCCTCTTGTTCTCATACACTGGCATCCTAATAAAAGAAGAAATTGCAGAGTGGTATTTCACTATCATTTCTTTTCTTTTTTCTTCAACATAATTTCTTTATTTATTCTTTTATAACTTCACATCATGTACCCCAATTCTGCTCATTTCTCAGTCATCCCACATTCGCCCTTCACCCTTGAGGTGTCACCCAAGAAAAGATAATTTGAAAAAAAAAAATTAAAACCAACACAAATACCGATGAAGAGGTGTTGGAGAGGCAGGAGAGATGGAAGAGTGAAAAGGATGTTTGTTGTTCTTCTTTGTTTTGTTTTGTTTTGGTTTTCATTCACTACTATTTCTATTATTTTATTTTATTTAGGTTCCCCAATGTCAAAGTTAATATTTGTGGAGAGAATTAAGTTTAGAACTAGTTAAGGATTTCCTATAGTTTCAAAGTCGTATTTTTCATTCCATGGGAACTTCTTCTGCAGGTTTATTTATTTTTATTTTTATTTTGTAATTGAAGACTTGTGTAACCATCATTTAACATGACCTGGATTTGAAACTGAAAAATCACGCTGACCTAAACGGCAGTCTTTGTTCAATGCTACCTGGCTAATCTGATCCCACATTATTCAGGCAATGTGTTATTATTCAAATTTTATTTTTTCATCAATTTTATTAAAAATATTCTATCATCCTACAGGAATATAGACATTATGAAGGTCTCTGCCATTCAATACAGCAGCAGAGGGCAGTAAGTTTTACTATTCATCTTGTGTACAAAGTAAGAAAAATATTTCCAGCTACAACTAAGAGCATATACCCTTCTTTTTTGTTGTTTTTGTTTTTGTTTTGTTTTATTTTGTTTTTCGAGACAGGGTTTCTCTGTGTAGCTTTGCGCCTTTCCTGGAATTCACTTGGTAGCCCAGGCTGGCCTCGAACTCACAAAGACCCACCTGCGTCTGCCTCCCAAGTGCTGGGATTAAAGGCGTGTGCCACCACTGCCCGGCTTGTATATACCCTTCTTAAACACATATTTCACATTGTTTATTTTATCTAGTATTTGTTATAAAATATATTTGATTATAGCATGTGTAAAGGTAGCCAAAATTCACTAAATTTTAGCAATGTATTCAACTTCTTTTGAACAGAGATGTTTTCATTTATTTTTATGTGTATTGGTGTTTTGTATGTGCACGTCTGTATATCACATGCATGTAGTCCCCAAGGAGGCCAGAAGGAGAAATCAGATAAAATGGAAATGGAGTTTCAAATGGTAGTAAGTCACCTTGGGGATATGAGAAACAGAATTCAGGTCTTTTGTAAAAATTAGCAAATATTTTTAATAATTGAGCCAGTAAAACATTCAGCCCCAAAACTTGTTTAACATTAGCTGCCATAGTATTTGAGCAATTTTCTCTGTTGTCAAGATAATGAGAGCAAAATCAATATTTGGTATTAATCTATATGCTCAGAAAGCTGCCTGAAGAAGACAATATTTCTCTTGATCAGTATGAATAGTGCCTATATAGTATCTTTTAAGATGGTAAGACACTGATTATAGCTACAGGCAAACATTTGTAAATTTGAGACTTACACATGAGAAATTTTGAAGCTATTAAATATAAAATGAATCCGAACATGTATCCTGCAGTGATTTATTAAGATAAATGTTCAGAGATGTATGATATTATACAGCTCATTGGGTAAAAAGTAAACAAATTCTTTTTTACCATCTGTCAATATCCCATGGAATTTTACATATTATTCCACATAATTCTTAAGATAATTCTGTCAAAAACTGTATTATTTAATGTTTGTTGCTGAGATAAACAGTTTTCTTTGTCTATGGAAAGGTTATAGTTTGCATCCAATAGCACAGCAAAGGATGGTTCTGACTTCCTTCCCTCTTGATGAATACTGCCTTCTAACCACAGCATTGTAGTACTTACCAAAGACTTGTAGGAAGGCCTGCTTTTCGTCTTCTCCTGCCTTGTTTGTGGCTTTGCAGACATAAGAGCCGCCATCTTTATTGATTATGTTCCTGACAGTGAGCTCTGAATTACTGCCCTTTAAAGTGTATTTTTCATTTTCTTCAATGAGCTTGCCATTCCTAAAAAAAAAAAAAAAAAAAATGAAAGCTGAAACACGTTGATACTCACAATCTAATTTAATAAACTGGAACATCACAATCATCTTATTTATCTATAGCCATACAGTTTTTCATGGCTAGGAAAACTGATTGTTATAGTTCAGTCAAAATACATTTTTTATTATTCAATCAACCTTAAGGCAAATATATAAACACAATACTTGAAATTTAGTTAGATTTTAGAGATAAAAATGGCATTTATTTGAGCTTGAAATCATAATCAAGTAATGAAAACACCTGACTTCATGTTGTACTTTATTAGAAAGTACTGTTTTTATTACTAATTTTTATTCACTTTGTACTTTAATAATTAACTAGTATATGTTCATGTATGTATTTATATTTACATGTGGATTACATAAAAATAATTTCTATGAAAATTCCTTTAACTTAACATGAAACAATATAAATGTCATGAATTTATATTCACTGTAAGTATCATCAGTGAAAATCAATGTGATAGTAAAGAGAATAATTTTTGTTTCTTATAGCTGTCAATAATTATTATTTTTCAAGTACTTTCTAAAATGAAATATATTTCCTTCAAAATTTGTGTATTTATAATAGCAAATTCTGTTAACATTTTCTATTATATTTTAATTGCTTAAAATATTTTAAAAATTTCCTTCCACATGTAAAATATCTCTATATATTCCCTTTACTTACATTTTATTCTTATTTTACTTTTCTCATTTTTCCCTTTACCTTTTTGTATATTTCTATTTTTATCTATGATTTTCAATTTGCAAACTGAATTATTATATGACACATTGACATAAAACACTCATAATCTGTCTGTGGTGTAGATATTAACATTCCTATATCAGTTTAAATTTCAATTTAAAAATTCTAGATGATTACTTTAAAATCTTCCTACAAGGAAACCAACAACACTTTTAAATATCTGCTGTGGAATATTCCCTTACACTATATGAATATATGTCACTGTGATTGGTTTAATAGAGAAGCTGACTGGCCAATAGTTGTGCAGAAAGATATTGAGCAGGAGAGCCAGAATAGGAGAATGCTTGGAGGACAAAGGGCAGAGTCTGGAGTCAACAGCCAGATGGAGAATGAGTCAGACATACAAAATGGAAGAGAGGTAAAAGCAATGAGCCTCGGAGCAGCACATAGATGAATAGAAATGGGTTCCGTTTTAAGAGCTAGTTAGTAACAAGCCTGAGCTATTATAAAAGCCTAGCATTTATAAGCAATCTTAAGTCTCTGTGTTGGTTATTTGGGAATAGGTGGTCAGAACAGGAAAATTCTGCCTACAATATACCATTGAATCTTTCAAGTGAATTCTATTAATACTTAGATCATGGCAATAATGCCAGAGACATCAAAGTCATTTTCAAAACACACACCTGGAATATAAGCAATGAAATAAATTATAAGATGATGAAAAATCTTGTAGTAAATAAATAATGTAATTACTAAATGATATCAGAAATTAAGACTATGCATACCCACAAACTGGAAAGAAAAAAACATACTCACAAATTAACCAATACCAAAAATAATATTTAATGAAAAATTTGGATAGAAATTAAAAGATGTTTGATGTAAAGAAAATTCAAATATAATTTTCTAAAATCAACAATGTATAATTAAAGCAATGTTTCTAGATAAAAATATGATTATATGAGAAGGGTGAAAAACTTCAATGACATAAATGTTACCTAAAAAGAAAAGAGAAATTAAATGCAAAGTACATAGAAAAAAATAACAAAAATAAGAACAACATTCACTGAAACATAAAAAATAAAAGACAGATTAATGTCAGTTAAAATTTGGGTATACCTTTATCTAGACAGACCAGATGAAGAAGGAATATAGAACAAGGAAGCAATTGTGAAGTAAACAAAACAACAGAAGCAAGAACTTTAAGTAGTACAGAAGTTAAATACATAACAAAGTAATAATGAATCACGCTAGGCTTTTACATGGCATTAAAGGTCGTCAACGCATTTCTGTAAAAACATGCCAGTAAAGACTGAACAATATAGAAATAAATGATCTCAATAGCCCTTTACCACAACAAAAAATGCATTTATGGTACGACCTGTGGCCAAAAAAAGGGATGAAAAATTGGTTTAGCGAGTTTAACTAAGAAATAACCAGGCTTACTTTTCAACTTTGCCATGAAATAGTACAGGGACAGAGACTTCCTTACTGAAAGAGATCATCTTGATTCTCAGCTGGAAGACATCTGGAATCGCCATGAAAAGAGACCTTTGTGTATCTGTGAGGGAGTTTCTAGATTAAGATTGCTAAAGTGGTAGCTGGCTAGTCTAGGCAGCACCATTCCAAGGCTGGGATTCGAAACTGAATAAAGAAGATAAAGGTGGCTAGCTGGGCAGAAACATCCACCGTTCTCTGCTACCTACTGCGGATGCAGCTGAATCAGATGTTTTGTGGTCCTCTGCCGCCATCCCTTAGTGGAAAGAAACCTCAACCTGGGAGGCAACTTACTGTCTTCCTCTCCCAATTACCTTTGTCAAGTGTTCTGCCATGAAACAGAAAAGTAACACACTGATTCATTCTAGGGCCAGTATTTTCCCGACCTTTAACAATTCGAGACCAAAACCAGGATCACTGAAGACCCAGTAGCTATTAAGTTATCAGCATCTTAATTCTTACAATGCATAAGAAAGACATCAGACTCTGAAAAGGTGAGTTTTTTTTTTTTAATTTAATTTATTTACTCATTTTACATCCCAACCAGTTTCCCCTCCCCCTCTCTTCCCATTGACTCCTTCCTATCCCTCCCATCAATTCACTCCTCCTATCATTCTGTTAAGGAAAGGGGCAGGCCTCCCATGGTTATCAACAAAGCATGGAATATCAAGTTACAGTACACTAAGCATCTCCTCTTGTATTAAGGCTGGCCAAGGCAGTCCGTTATGAGGAATAGGTTCTCAAAGCATTATAGACAGCCCCTGCTCCCACTGTCAGGAATTCCACAAGTAGACCAAGATACACAACTGTCACATATTTGTAGAGGGCCTAGGTAGGTCCCATGCTGTCTTCCTGGTTGTTGGTCAGACTCTATGAGTTCCTATGATCCAGGTTAGTTGTTTCTGTGGGTTTTCTTGTACTGTCCTTGGCCCCTCTGGCTCCTACAATCCCTCCCCTCTCTCTTCAGCAGGATTCCCTAGTGTGGCTCTCTGCATCTGTTTCCTACAGTTCCTGGATGAAGGCTCTCTGATAACAACTGAGGTAGTCATCAATCTGACCACAGGAGATGACCAGTTCAGGCTACGAATTCACAATTGCTAGGAGTCTTAGCTGGGGTCATCTTTGTAAATTTGTGGGAGTTTCCCTTGCATTAGGTTTGTACATGACCCCAAAATGCCATTCCCTGTCAGTCATCTCTTTCAATACTCCTCCCCTCCACCTTCCCCTCAACCTGATCCCTCACGTTCTCATCCCCACGCAGGAGATCCCTTCATCCCTCTTTGGGCCTCCTTTTTATTTAGCCTCTCTGGGTCTGTAGTATGGTTATATTTTATAGTTAATATCTACTTATAAGTGAGTACATACTGTGTTTGTCTTTCTGGGTCTGGGTTAAATCACTTAGGGTGATTCTTTTCTAGTTCCATCCATTTGCCCTCAAATTTCATGATGTCATTGTTTTTAACAGCTGAGTGATATTCCATTCTGTATATGTACCATATATTCTTTATCCATTCTTTGGTTGAGGGGCATATAGATTGTTTCTAGGTTATGGCTATTATTAATAAAGCTGCTATGACACAGTTGAGCAAGTGTCCTTGTGGCATGATTGAACATCCTTTAGAAACACACCCAAGAGAGGTATAGATGAGTCTGGAGGTAGATCAATTTGTAATTTTCTGAGACACCAACATATTGATTTACAAAGTGGCTTTACAAATTTGCACCCCCACCAGCAATGGAGGTGTGTTCCCCTTGTCCCACATCCTCTCTAGCACAAGCTGCCATTAGCATTTTTGAACTTAGCAATTCTAATAGGTGTAAGATGGAATGCCAGAGTCATTTTGATTTGCACTTCCTTGATAGGTAAGGATGTTGAACTGCTGTGGGATGGTCTGTATGTCAAATGTGTTGCTGATTGGTCAATGAATAAATCACTGATTGGCAGTGGTCAGGCAGGAAGTATAGGCGGGACTAACAGAGAGGAGAATTGAGAGAACAGGAAGCTGGGTGAGAGAGACACTGCCAGCCACCATCAGGACAAGGAAGATGTAAAGTAAGCCACAAGCCACGTGGCAAGGTATAGATTAATAGAAATGGATTAATTTAAGCTGTAAGAACAGTTAGCAAGAAGCCTGCCACAGTCATACAGTTTGAAACCAATATAAGTGTCTGTGTTTACTTGATCGGGTTTGAGCGGCTTGGGACTGGCGGGTGAGAGAGATCTGTCCTGACTGTGGGCCAGGCAGGAAAACTCTAGCAACAAATGGCGTCCAACGTGGTGGCAAGAGTTTCCACCTAAAAACTGAGAAAAAAGATTCTAAAACGGAGTTAAAAACAGTTCCTAATTGTCTCTCTCAAATGAGCAGCAGCTGCGGGTTTGAGCTGCCGGTTTGAGCTACTGGTAGGTTCCTGGCGTGTGTGCTTGACCTGCCGCCATATGGTGGGAATGAGGCCTCTGCAAGTGGCACATTAAGCTGCGTGGTGGATTTAGCCTTTGCTAGTACAAAACAAAAAAAGAGGTTTTGGGGCTACACGCTGCTTGGATAAAAGCATAGACCCACGATGGCTCCCAGAGCTGGCGGAAAACGTACTACCGCCATGCTGGGAAGCTGAGGTGGGTGGAGCCAGCAGCCACAGCTGCTGCAGTTTAAGGCAATAGATTCACAATAAGACAGATTCAGATGTAATAGTTTACAATGTGTGTAAAATATACGTAGGCTTGAAAGAGATTAAAAAGGTGATATATACAGTTACAGAAACAAATACATAGTTTTAAAAAA